CATTAGCACCTCTAGTAATATATTTACTGAGAAAAATGGTGACGTGTTCAATACTTATTTTACCTGCTGTAAGTCCACAGATACGTCAGCTGTGATAAACTGTTTCTTTAGAACACCAACACTCAATCACTACACTGTTGCAGATGATGAATAATTATGTGTTATTTATTTATTGATTTGTATATTTATGTGTTATTTAAATGTGTCATTTCAGGACAAGCTTACCTGCTTCAATGTTTTCAAGAAACGACTTCAGCATTTGGAGCATCTTAAGAAACTGCATTGGAATGGTGAGGACAAAGTTTTTGTACTTTTCCTTAATTTCATCATCAAACCTTACAAATGTAAGCAAATATCAGCTAAATGCCAAATATTTTCATCAGGAGTTGTTTAAGACGAAAACAAGTAAAGGTTACAATTAGAACAAAATGAATCAGGGTTCTAAAAATCCTGCCAGAGAAAAACTACCAGGACCAACCGAACCAGCTTTAAGTGAAGCTGCAACAGTTTAACACATTCTTAAATGTCATACACCATTGAAAACTTTCTGAGAAATCTAATCTATCCTATTCCAAATCTAATCTCAGACCTGCTGTGAGAAAGTTAACCTTCCTGATTCGCCTCACACCTCCCCTCAAGACCCCCTGGCGCCCCCTAGGAGAGACGTGCCTCACAGTATATATCATGTTATAACGTTATCCTCCCATCGAAAACATGTCCWGAGTCTTGCTTTGACTCATTCATGCATGTTTGAGAAATCCTGTAGTGTCCTGAAGCAGCCAGGCAGGGGAAACCATGTCTGCTGAGCTCCAATACTAACTACTTCTCTGTCCAGTCCTTTTCAGATTAAAACATGCCTTTGAGGAAATGGGTTTTCAGATACMAAGGACACTACCATCTTTTTAAGCTTCTCGAGAATGACATGGTTCTTAAAAAATGGTTGGACTTCATTTTTGGAAGTAGCCCTCAGACAAAAAAGTTATAAATGCGAATGCCACTTTACAAATGATAGCTTTATGAACAAATGGGAATTTAACACTGGACTAATAACAAGATTGTCCCTAAAAGGAATTCCAACACTCAGAAGTAAACACTGTRGTCACCTGCCTGAGTAAGCAGAAAAAACAACTACAATGTTTTTTCACATCATTGTTTGGTCTATTTGTGATCTACGGTTAGCGTATGAAACATATTCTGATCAGTACATGTGCCAGCATGACTGGGGTCTTACCAGCTGAAACGTCRTCTCTGTAATYGCTCCGGTTCTTCAATAAATGTACTTTCTGGTCCGACGGTAAGGTTCATATTGTATAATGTTGCTTATTTTTTAACTATCATTACAACAAAATAGTCTACGACACTCCAGGTTGTAAACGGCRGAGAGAAGTTGTGATGACGTGTTAAAATGGGCGTGACAGAAGCAGAAGGAGGTTCTTAAAGAGACAGCGGCCAATTTCAAGGCGTTTAAAAATGGTTATGATGAGAATTAAAGTTTATTTTCTATTTAAACATATAAACAGCATTTTAATTATGACTGCAGGTGACATAGTTAATTAATTTTGGTATAGAATTTAAATATATGCCTGAGAAACACATAATATTACCCCTTTAACATGTCCTCTGAAAATAAATTATGTAGTGCTCAGAGAGTGGGTCTAATTCTAATGTAGTTCTAGTTTAGGCCCAGAAAAGATGATAGTTTTTATGGTCTGTAGCAGTCATGTCCAGTCCTGGTCCTGCAGGATCTCTGTCCTCCATCTTTGACTTTCTCTGCTCCAACACACCTGATTCAGCTGCTGAAWTACCTCTTCAGATTCTGCAGAAGCCTGTTCATCAAACATTCATTCAGCTCAGGTGTGTTGGAACAGAGAGACCTCTAAACCCTGCAGCATAATGGCCCTCCAGGTCCAGAACTGGACCTCCCTGGTCTACAGCAACATGCTTATTGTTGCATATTTGAAGGAATATGCCCAAAGCCTAAATTCTCTACCTTGATACTTTCCTTTCAGAGCTTTGCTTTGTGAAAGGACTCTGTCTTTTTCATGATAAGAACTTGACACCCTTTAATGTGTTTTTCAGGAGCTTTCTAAGATTACAATGCCGGTAATTTTCAATGAGCCGCTCAGCTTCCTGCAGCGTCTGACCGAGTACATGGAGCACACCTACCTCATTCATCGGGCCAACTCCTCCTCAGATTCTATTGAGAGGATGAAGGTAGGATGCATTTTACCTTCACTGATTTAGTGTGAATAAACTACTTGATTGTGGGCCCAGTTTAATGGGCTCTGCTTTAGAACTCAGCATTTCATGGTTTTCTTCTGCAGTGTGTGGCTGCTTTTGCGGTGTCGGCTGTGGCCTCCCAGTGGGAGCGGACGGGTAAACCATTCAACCCTCTGCTTGGAGAAACCTATGAATTGGTCAGGTGTGTCTTGTTCATATTACAGCTACTTCTGTTGTCTGAACTATAGCAAAACTTGTGACCATCCATTTTTAGTCTCTTTGTTTTGTTTTGTTTTTCTTTGCTTTGCCTTGTCTATCTTTGCCTTGCTTTGTTTTTGTTTTTCTTTGCCTGCCTTGTTTTGTTTGTTTTGCTGTGTCTTGCCTTGTTGTGTTTGTTTTGCTTTGTTTTTCTTTGTTTTGCTTAGCTCAGCCTTGTTTTTCTTTTCTTTGTTCTGCCTTGTTTTGTTTGCTTTGATTTGCCTTGCCTTGATTTTTCTTTTCTTTGCTCTGCCTTGATTTGTTTGTTTACTTTGCTTTGTTTTGCCTTGCCTTGTTTTTCTTTTCTTTGCTCTAACTTGCTTGTTTGCTTTGATTTGCCTTGCCTTGATTTTTCTTTGCTTTGCTCTGCCTTGTTTTGTTTGCTTTGCTTTGTTTTTCTTTGCTTTGCTCTGTCTTGTTTTGTTTGCTTTGCTCTGACTTGCCTTGTTTGCTTTGCTTTGCTTTGTTTTTCTTTGTTATGCTTTGCTTTGCCTTGCCTATCTTTGCCTTGCTTTGTTTTTGCTTTGATTTGCCTAGGCCTGTCACGATAACAAATTTTGCTGGGTGATTAATTGTCTCAAAATTTATTGCGATAAACGATAATATTGCCTGGTGACCGTTTTACAACTAATAATTATAAAAGCATAATATGTAAGTGTAATAAATCAATAAACTTTCATTTTTAAAAGAATGTTTAACAAAGTGGACTCTCAGCACTCAGTGCAAGAGCAGCATCTCTTTAGAGA